AACTCAGTCACAATAACAATCTCCGAGGCCTTCATCTTAATCTGGTAGAGCACTACAGTCATTTGGAATGCCGTCGGAATTTCTTTTCCGTACGCAGTTGCAAAGAGTGGAATTATCTACCGGGATCTGTCATATGTGCTCCTACGTTGGTAGAGTGCAAAACCCGATTTGATCGTGCACCCATTACGCTGCAGCATCTCACATCCCACGGATAAAAACAAGGGTCTGGTCAACTCCCAGAATACATTCCGCCTTTTTCACTTCCCTTTTGTTTGCACCAGTATGCGATACGACTTTTTAGTTACCGACGTCCTACTTTCCGTCATTCCCTATGGATTACAATGAATTTACAGTTAATACTACGTGAGTCCACCGGTGTAAACCTAATTTTGCTGACAGTTTTTCTGGATTTTTACCCGTAGAAAATCACTGCTCTGTTTTTCCAATAATCCAAAAGAATTCAAGGCCTTAGTAGAGATTGTTTGCAGCTTTCCAACCACACGGAGAGTAAGCCAAATCCGACTTTGAATTCCATACCGTTGTGTCAAGCGCTGCGTACGCATCATAATGACATAGTGATCAAGGCGTTAGCCGTGCGCCATTAGACCCCGAGTTCCACCGCAGCTCGGGCTATTTCCATATGATGAGTCCAAAGCAGGAAGGAATCGGTTGTGGGGTGTCAGTATTGGGAGTCGCAACACCGAAACAACTCCATTTCGGATACGGTCCTTCTGATTAGAATCACCGAGGTCCACTCCAAAGGGAACCGACGTCTCAATAGAGATTGCTTGCCGCAGTCCAACTACACAGCGGGGACTTTAAGTTGAAGTTTTCACCTAAACCAAGTCCTTCACAATGCATAACTTCCCCACACATAGTCAGGGACATTTCCTCCTCCATACTTGACACTTCCAGTAGACCGGCAAATCGGTCATCGGGTGCAGTGCAGAAAGCGAGCTGCCAACCGTGATTACGTGTTATAGTCCACACACAGCGGGTGCTTAACAAACAAGGAACCAACTCCTATTAAGCTTTCGCCACCAACTGAACTTCGTCGGGCTCTTTTTCCGGTTTACGAACGCCACTGTATTAACGTTGTAAAATGTGCTCTATTTGGTAATAGAGCTCTCAAAGTATAGGACGCTATAGTGATACAGCTTTTCCGATGGCATACAAAAGCCCCACAAAAACTGGATTGAAGTAAGCTTCAACTTCTAACGTGCGTACACGTGCGTGCCCGTTTTCTTACCTATTCATTAAGTAACCAACTATTTTGTGTAAAAGAACAAACACTCAACGCGCATTAACACATTTATTGTCACATTCGCGGAAGATCCATAGGTGAAGATGGTCACCTAGCAACATGGTGTGAAACGACGTCTCTTTTTTACCACTTTCCCATTAATGCGACACAAAACCATCTTTACATACCCACTACTGCTAGAGCGTAGAATTAAACGACCGGCAGTTTACTGAGATCGCGTTACAGTTGCCTCTAGCAGCAGTTTTGTAAGCTGACTCCAGAAGTGACACCAACACAAACGTAGCCAATTTTCTTGGATTGGTTTAGTCAACTTTCCCTGCTGTACAGTTCATACTTACCCAAAGACTTACACCATGCAGGCAAATCAGAAACGTCAGGTTTGTGATGATTGCTTTTTTCACACGTCTATGTTTTCATTAGCCATGTTAACACTCAACTTTTCATTTACAGTGCAGATCAAGCAAGAAGTATTCGAACTTGATTATAGCTACTGATTTGGAATCAGTCGCGAGAGCCGTTTTCCAGGCTTGCGTATACTGAGAGTGTCCCAGCCCACGTGCAATAATGGATAAATAAACAGATTATCTGCTTTTATCTACACCCTGCATTAGCCTTTGAGCAGCGTTAAAAGGGTCCCCTTATCTGTTGCATACAACAGGGTGGGGAAGTGAAACCTTCTACTACGGATATCTCGCGGCATTTTTTCCACCTGTGTTTCGTGCTCATCACTTTCCTTCAATTCTAATCATTTTTCTATGATCTTTTGCCCATTTAAAGATAGTTTCAGTTCAATCTAAGTCCCACCATCTTCAGCTAACTGCAAGCTGTTTCATTTGGACTCATATAGGACGGTCTCTTTTCAGGCCGCTCAATCCAGCTTCTTTTGTAGCGTTCAACGCTCGTGCCCTTAAGCGGATAAGTCATTAGGGCGCGCTTGCACACGAACCGGTGCGTGTCTGAAACAAAGATCAATGACCCTCACGCGGTTGCCATCACACTATTCGAGTTCGGTATCGTCCTCAGCACCAAGATGGTTATTGTTGGCCAATCGGAGTCACATGAACATCCAGATATGTGTAGTCTGTTTGCATACATAAACTAAACTTACCACACCATGCAATGTTAGGCATTATCTACTTTTTACCGCCACTTATACCAGCGAATGCTGAAACTACCAAAGACGCCTTCTGCCACGTATCCAACGCGACGCTTCGCATAGTTACCAGTTCAAATATCGTTGCAGTCGCTGGGGGTCAGTGAGCAACTGGGTCCTTCGTGCTCCTCAGATCAGATAGGTAGTAGGTTAGAGCTTAAGTTTGAACGCACCGATAATGGGGAGGACTAACTGCATCAAGCACCGGCAGCAAGTTCTTCAGACACAGTGAGCCCCGATTGGCTAAATGGTGTCCCCCAACAGGTGATCAACGGGACTCACCACTATACTGACTCTTTTATTTGGACGTGTGCATAGACTCTGATTATGTCCCCGTGTGCCCCGATTTTACACTGACTTTGACGTGAATGGTACCAAAACTTCATCTCGGCTGGCTACTGGAAAAGTATTTGAGCCCTCAGTCAACCAAGATTTTCAAGAAGCCCTGCGTACAAGGCTTTCGGTTAATTGCTCCAACCACATCGTGCTTCAGTAGGATAGTGTCCAGGCTACGATGTAAGTTTCTGGAGCCTCTGCCTCCAGTATTGTCAGTTGTCATCGCATCGGACACAGGATAGCTGAGATGCCTGTGAGCCTGGTGGATTCAAGGAGAAAATTCGCTGCTGGCTCTGAACACAGTGTAACGAGATGCACGATCAGGTCTCAGCGGAATCAGAGTATGTGTGCTGACAGGATAGCCTAGTGGACACAAATTTCTGAAGAAATGAACGTGAAAGGCGCAAAGGGGAATTATCCCAGACTCTCACAGCAGTTTGTGAACAGCAGAGACCAATCAGTAACGCTTCAACTGGGGTGAGTCAATCATAGTGGTAACTTATGAGAATAGGCATTGCACAGACTAGTATAACCGCCTGGATATCTGCCAGACTCCTGTATTGATAAAGCATTGTATCTTAATTCTTTTCGTCGTCTTAAACCGAGGGGACAACACGAGTTGATCAGCGCGGTTTAAGTTCATGACGAGGTTGGATAGATCTTATTGGTTAAACTTGCGTCAGCCGTTGGGACAGCATCACACAGACCGCATCACTCACGTATGACAGAACGGACTGAGACTTCGCCGCTCATAAGGTACGCATGAAAACAAACCTTAAAAACATGTGTTAAACAGGTAACAGCTTATTCCGAAGTTGCCACAACGACATAGATGCAGTTAGAACATGGAAGAAGAAGGTGAAAACCATTGTGGGAATACCCCGCATGGAAGCAGGTCTTCTAGATGGACGTATTACTTTACTTGAACTTTGCTTCAATCTGCACTTGTTACTGTTCCCAGTTTATTAATCTCTCTAAAACATTCCCAATGCAAATTACTTCCAAAGCCCATTTAAGCTTCCCTATCAAAAACCTGAAATATTACCTATTTTCTGAAATCTAATTAATAACACCACTCAATTGGATTGTGCCTGTCCAGGGTTATATCATTACATTTTATTTATTTAAGAGTGCCTTGGAATTCCGTTGATCGCTGTATCCTCTTCGACACTTGCTGGGGACATCGTCCCCATAAGGTCCCACTCACGCTGGAACCGGGCACCACGGCTCGCACCAAAATCTACGGTGAATAGCTAGGCGCCCTTTTTTACAACAAGTGGTGCTCGCCACAGTTGCCCCAGTTCTCCATTTTGTTCAACTTTGTCACTGATCCCATCATGTAATGTTCCGCTTCGGGAGCTCGCAAATTGGGCACTGTAATGCTGTATGGTGGAAAATTAATTGTCACAAAGTATGCTGACGGCATTCTTCTGTTGTTTGATAGTCACGAGGCCCCTCAGTTAACCCTGAATATTGGTATGCGATTCACACCTCCCAAGTGCAGTGTTATCGCAGGACCACCATTCACTTGATATCCTTTTGACGCTTGTGAACGAAGTAATAGCATTAGTTGCCCGGTTCACTTAATCTGATTTCTGTGTTACCAGCGGAATGAAGTTTTGAACATGTAATTTCTCTTTTATCAGAAACAGATTTCTCTTGGTCTGACAAGCTGTTTCTACAAAGCCACAGTGATTCCGTCCTATCCTACGGGAGTGAGAGTTCGCTGTTTCAGTTGGAAAATGTGAAGCACCTTCCAGTCTTCTATCATAGCTGTCTGCGGATCCTAGATAGTATCGAAGGGCGCAAGCACGTACGCAACGATTATGTGCACAGGTTTGATCTGAAAACAGCATTTTTCTTATTAGCGTTCAACATTAATGCTGACATTAAGAAGTTTGAAGCTGATTGCGTTACAAACGAGCACACAGTAAACCTCACAAGTTCATGTAATAGCTTTGGATTTCAAAGTGAATAATGTGGGCACGGACAGTTTTTCATCTTTTAATTAGCTGCAAATTGTAACTGGTGTATTCTAGCGGAAAATTGGCAATGACGTCCTACAAAGCGGACACGCAGATGGCTTATGTCCGCAGACGGTGTGAACTGACCACATCTACTGCGCAAGTCTGAGTCATCAAGTGCTAATTCCCGTTATTGTGACACGTTGGTGATATACCGGCGAAATTAGCTATAATAACGCGGTTGCGTTTGATAGTGAATGATAAACCACAACAAAGAACTCACGGTCTGTTGGATTGAATCGGGTGCTTATCAGTTATCTCATCCACGACAGGAGAATATCATGATGACGTATGATGCAACTTGCTGGTATGGTTTAGTCTGATTAGTGGTCAATTGATGTATACAGCAATAGGCTCTTAAAGCCCAATACATCGATTTTTAACAGAGCTACTTAGTGTCTGGTCATCAGAGTTGAGGCACTATGCTAGAGGAAATTGGCAAAACTGATCGAACTATTGGTGGCGGATGATTCTTGAAGTCGATGGTTTGTAGCTTTGAGTAAATGTCAAAATTCATGATCGCATCTCAGGTCAACTATGGTCGAGGCTACTCGTAAAAATCAATGGAGCCTATGCGTTAGACCCAATAGACCAAGTCAGAGTTCATTAAGTATGGAGTTCAGCAGGCGACTTTATGAGCATCAGATCTTTCACCTCATGAACGGCTTTCTACCGCAATAAACGAGATTGCCCATAGAATTCATGACAATCACAATTCACTCGAATTATGAAATCGAAGGCTAAGCCTTGGCAGCACTCGTATACTGTTTGTGATTAGGGTTACATATCCATTTATAACCGAATTTCAACCATGTTTTTGACCTTTAATACTCGTTCCGGTGGATCACAAGCGACTTGCTTACCATATATAGTTACATTCATCCTTAGCTTTCGGAGTTGTTTGGGCAAATAGCGACTACCTGGTAAGCGCAGATTAGTACTCACTCGCTGACATGGGAACAGTTTGGCTCCCAACTGCTAGTGTGCTATAATTTCGATAAGCTCAACTAAATACCCTGTAGTTTTGTAGCATATATTGAGTGGACTTGTTGGGTGATCACTGGGTGAGTATCACCGAGGTATTTGACCAAGGGAAACCTCGCTAGAAATCTAACAGCTCGCTTTGTATACAGGACACATCCTAACTTCTTACCAACAAATTTTTTTGGTTTTTGAAGTTGTGAGCTTGAATGGCTTATCTGAATGAAGATTGGCGTCACTTAATTTCGGAAAGCTTCAAAACACAAACCGGTCATTTAAAGGCTCGTATTACGGCTGCGTTTCTCTCTTGACACTTACTGAAATCATGAATTCCCAGTCGGTCCCGAGTTTGTCCAAAGATATTGAATGGGAACCACTTAGATTATTTTATAGCTCACAAACCAAAGATGCTCCATTCCCGTAATTGTTAGTTCAAGATCTTGGTTTAGGTAACACCCATTTTATACCGAATGTGATACGACCACAAACAAGCTGTTGCTGCTCGAAGAGTAAAACAACGATTTTCATTTATAAAAAGAATACAACTTTCCACGTTCGATAGAATAACATGCGAGGGAATCGAAAGTTCAAAAATATCGTTATTAACAACATAGTTATGTGGACTCAACGTATAAAGACACACACAAACATACCTTTTGCGAAGAGGCCGGTGAACACAGTGCCTGTTGCCATCATGTCGACTACCGATGAATGCCGTTTATTGTGTCTAGTGTGTCTTCAAACATGTTAAAAACGGGTAACATGGGCGGAGAATTGCTATAAATCAGAAGTGTTTTTTGGCTAAGGAATTGAAGGGGGAAGAACTACAGCATTATTACTGGTAACATTCGGGCTCAAATTCGGCTGGTGATCACATAGGCTGATATAGTAGTGGCTAAGTCTCATGTGATCGCAACAAACATGATCTAGGTTCCAAAGAATCCGCTGGGTCAGCATGAGGGCACTTAGTGCACGCCAATATCAGCTATCAGGCATTCTCATGACTTACAGTACACCTCATTGTGCGAGATAAAACAAGCACAAAACATCTTTAGTTACTTTAAGAGAGGGTTGGGAACATTTAGTTGGTATATTGGTTGGGTAACGTTTTGTTTCTGATACAAACGCTTCAACTGGCCAAGCGAATTAGGATGCTATCATAGTGGATTTTATAGCAATCAGGGACGATTATAGCTATGGCAGAAGATGGACCCAATGGATATTTGTAGTCTTAGGTCAGATGTCACCCCGAATGGTTCAACCACAGGCGGGAAGAATCCAGGTTTTCCCCTGTGCTTCTGTCTGTGACTGTCGTCCTTGTCAGGTATCAAAAGTCGATTCATATACCTAACGATTCACTTGGCTTGGCGAAAATTTTGTGTCAAAACCGAAGACCTCGCGCACCTTTTGCCCTGGACGCCACTGTGTTACCCTGAATGCAGAACTGGATATTTCTAGAAGCGTATAAAGTGCACTCTGACCTGACATCACAATAACGTGAGTGTCAAACTCGTCTACTTACCGGTGGCTTACGGACCGCGCAAGGAGTTGCATATCAACTATTTTGGGTGCATCAATCCCTCGTGGATTTGTTGATACCTATCGATAACTCTCAGCATTTCGGCAATTCACTTTCCAGACGTCCTTATTTTCGGAATTCTCAAACCCTATCTGCATTGTCTAAGGTTATTCATGAACCAGTAACGCGCGACGCACATCAGTACGAAGTATATGATGCGTTACAAATATCACCCGCACATGTCTCATTGGAAGCCAATCCCATGTCATCGTCTAACGCTGGACAATAGATATCGCTGAAACCGCTGTATCACTATACGACATTCATACCATCCATCCATTCCGGCTACTTATTGTTCGCAGACCAATTGTGATCCAGCTCCTGGCACTGCCCATGACCATGGACGCGAGGTTCATTCACAAGTCTCACCTAGTCAACTGGCAGACTTGTGAATGAATCTCGAGTCCATGGTCATGGGCGGTGCCAGGAGCTGGATCACCTAGTCGACTGGCAGGTCGTCCGGGGGCCGAGTGGTCTGCACGTTTGCTTTGCAACCATAAGGTCACTGGTTCGAATCCGCGTAGAGGTGGGCGTCCTCGCGGTATGCTCAGCCCGCGCGCGGCTGGTGGTGGTCGCGCGGCAGCGAAGCGCCATTACGGCGTCCAGCTGACACATTATTATTATTTTATTGTTATTATTATTATTATTCAAATGGCAGCGCGCTCACTTCACGACTTACGCACCAAACCCTAGCACTCGGCCAACGGGAACACTCTTGAGGTCAGAGGAATAGCTCACAGAGGCAGGCGAATCGCACATGATTTTGCAAGATTTTGCACTTTCTTTGTAAAAATTTGCACCTTTGCAAAATGTTGCCTATTTTGCAAAATCTTGCGCTTTCTTTACAAAAATTTTTGATTGTTTCTGCGACTTTGCGGGAAATGCTATAGACTATCATCATAGAAGTGTTGAGATGGCGAACAGGAGGGCATAAGTTCCAAGCTGCATGATTGGGTCTAGTGGAATGAGCAATACATTGTGGTATCTCTTTTTTAATTATTCCCTCATCCTTGAAAACATAACCTTTCGGTCGCTATCTATTGATTAAATAGTTTTGCCATGTTCGGTAATAGTACGAATTGACCGAGTGCGGCAGTCGTTTCCAGATATCTGAGGTTTGCACGAATTTGCAACGTGGACATTTGGGGGGGGGGCATATTTGCTAGATTCATTAACTTCCCTAAACTTCAACTGTGTGCTTGTACTGAAGCTAAGTTTGTGTATCAGTTTGTAAAAGAAAACAAAGTTCAGCTTCAGTCTTCGTAACCATGGAGGATAATGCTTAGTAATTCAAATCTATCGTGAAATTTTCCCAACGAGGATTCACTCAAAAGACTTTTAATGAATGACCGCTGCAGACGTTTAAGGGATAAGGGATCATTATTGCACATCTGACTGTATACGATCGGGTAGTACTCCAAAAATGGGCGTACACAAAACAAATAAACAGTTAGCTTAGCTTTGCTTAAGGCTATTGAGTTGTTGATTAAGCTCAGACCGCATCTGGACTTTGATAACTGTTGTTGAGTGTGAGTTGAAAAGTTAAGTCGTGTATTGTCGCTTAAGTATAGGTCATGGACGGATAAAGTGATAACGATTGGTTTCTATTTAAAGTTATAGTTCCTGGTGAGATGCAACATCTATGACGGAGTACGCGTGACTTGTGCCCTGAGAATTTAATTAACCATTTATTTGACTAGAGTTCAAGGGCATTCAGATCTGTTTGAATAGTTTTGACGGTTATCTGCAGATGTTATGGAGGAAAAGTGCAGACATTTTTCATAACATCCACTAACGGAAACGGTTTACCCGATTGGATTGTATCGAAAACGTCATTGGGATAGATGACGAACAGAGTGGGACCAAGTACACTACTTTGCAGTACTTCACCTGGTTGTGGTTCCAAGTTATTTAGTAAAACAGTCTGAGTGCGACCCTCTAAGAAGTAGGTACACCAAACCCGGAGTGATTCACGGACTCCGAATGACCTAAGCTTCAATAAAAGTCGCTTAGCGGAACATACTCGAAGGTTTTGTGTATATCAAGGAAGATGACCAGTACCGACGTTTTGGCATCTACAGCGGACCTAATGTAATCTAGCAAGTGTAACTGACCGTTTAGTCATAAACCATGTTGTTGATCACTTAGGAGTCTGTGTGTCATACGATTTTCAACGAGATATTTTTGCTTACACTTCCACTACTCCAGACATGATGGAAGTGTGATTAATTGGTCGACAACTATCCGCTTCGTTTCGTTCACCGCTTTGTGTTATGCAATGGTGATAGGATTTTTCCATTAGGATGAAAAATGGTTATATGTTAGAGAAAGGCTGAACATTAACAAATAAAGTGAGGATGTCTTCGCCGCCATGAGTGAGAAAAATTGAAAGGGATGCCGTCCGGCTTCGCAGAGGTAGGGGGTTGAACTGATTTTAGGGTGGATTTAATCTCCGCGATATTTATACTTATCTCCGACAGTATGCGGTCAGGGTAATTCGTCTGGTGGAAATCTACAGACTTGGGCTCATTAATGAGTAAGGAAGCAAAATATTCACTGAACGCCTCACACATGCAAATTGGGTCCATGATATTTACATCTTTGTGTCGGATTGAGTTGGGGATTCCGTCGGGACGTCTAAGATGTCGTGACTGCAGCAGTTGTGTGAGAGCAGATGTGTTACGACAATTGAAACTTACCACAAGCTCTTAGGCTATATGTCGCAGCCCGATTTCTGTAGCGATTTT